CACACATCAAACACAATGGTGTGAATAGGCCCTAAGGAAAAAAACCATACAAACATTTGACAGTTTTCATAAATGTCCTCCAAGGTGTGTTGTGGTGCAATTCAATGAAAATGGCACCCAACGCACATGTACAATAGCTGGCATAACACCGGCAGTACAACATCCCACAACACACATAGTGTACATGGTGGTGCGCCGTGCTGCTGAAAATGCTGCAGTCGTGTTATTCTGTTCGTTAAGATGTGATTCTGGCCCATTCAAAATGAATGCATTAACACATTGGCTGGAATTCATAAAGAGCGACCTCCGACTCTCTTTACAATTCGGTTGTGCGTCCGCAAATGTCAGTGCTTGCACCAGATTCATGTACCTGTTGAAGATGGGAGATAGAGATACAAAGTAACATTGTTTATAAACATTAATCAGAGGGAAGATAGAGAGATACAAAGTAACATTGTTTATAAACATTATTCAGATGGGAGATAGAGAGATACAAAGCAACATTGTTTATAAACATTGATCAGATGGAAATAGAGAGATACAAAGTAACATTGTTTATAAACATTGATCAGATGGGCGATATGTCCACAACTGGTTATACAGTGTTGAAGACCCCAAAGACTTTCTGTCCTGGGGCCCCATCTGTATCTCCTCTGCTAGACACACCACAGTAGCCATTCTCAGCCTGGCTGTCACAAGATATTTGACTCAAGAAGTAATCGGGATGTGTATGGTCTCCCCCAATGTCTTCCCAACCCTGTGAGCACATGTTGTAATATAAGCCTCCCAGAATCCCACTCCCTAATGTAAATAGGAAGACGTAAAGTTTACACTGAGGACACGGCCTCTTTATTAGCCTCACCAGAAAGTAATGCATTTGCTCCCAGTGTTTATAATTGCAGCCATCTCTCTAATTGCATTGTATTGTTCTTCTTCTCTAAGGATCGGCAGAAAAAGCCTAGCGCAGCAAAAAATGATACCGCACAATTCATCCCTGACCCCAATGCACCTCTCGGAGCTTTGAGCACGGCACATTGGATTCACGTTGGTCCCTGGAGAGGAATATTCTATTGTGCAAGTTCACCACCATTAGATAGCCTGGGCAGGGGCCTCATAGGCAGAGTTTTCACTTATCTTCAATAAAAGCTTGATCTCCCCCTTCTCAAGCAACCCATTTAGAGATGTCCCATATCCTAAGTACCATTACATGCTAATAAACCTGTTGTAGAGTCAGTTTCATGCTATGAACCCCTAAAAATGGATGTGCTGCCAAATTAGCTAGTTGGAGAATTAAGGTTGAAGTGAATTTCCAGCACTGCTGGTCTTCTCTGGCAATTTTTGTATCCCCATCCCTGATCCCTATTAATGTACTGACAATGTTAGCAGCTCTCTGTCTACCTGTCATCGATTTAAACATACACAGTGCTGTAGTGGATAGCGCCTCTGCCTTGCAGCACTGGGGGTCCCTGGTTTGAATCCCGCCCAGGTCACTTATCTGCAAGGAGTTTCCTCCCACACTCCGAAGACATGCTGGAAGGTTAATTGGCTCCTCTCTAAAGGTGGCCATACATTTTACAACCCTCGCAAGACTTTTGTCTTGCGGGGGTTGTAAAGTACTTAAAAAAACGTACGATCTGCCCATCTTGGACAGGCAGATCGTACTTGCGATCATCGCAAGCCCGCCCCCCTGAGGGGCGGGCTTCCGATGACTGTAATGAGGGGCGGGCTTCCGATGACTGTAATGAGGGGCAGGCTTACGATGACTGCAAACTGGCTCGTTCGGCAGTTGTCGTACCAGAAGGCCACTAACTCAACGAGAATCGTAAGATTCCCGGCGGGTTTTGTAGCATGCTGGTTCGACGGAAGACGTGCGACAGTAGAAACGGTCGCACGCTTCCATACACTGCACGATTATCGTACGATCGCGGGATTTCCCGCGATTCTCGTACGAGAATGGTGCAGTGTATGGGAACCTTAAGTTGGCCCTCTATGTAGGCATGTAAGGTAGGGACCTTAGATTGTAAGCTCCTTGAGGGTAGGGACTGATGTGAATGTGCAACTATGTAAAGTGCTGTGTAAATTGTTGGCGCTCTATAAATACCTGTAATAAATACATAAATAAATATAGGACTCAATTACAAATGTCCCAATTGACAATGTGAGGTGTCACAGAGAGCAACCGCTGGGGAGCCCCTCTAAAATATTGCTATGGGGCCCTGTGAATTGTAGTTACGGCCCTCATATTCCAAATCCATACGATAATTTAAAATAGAGTAAACTTTCAATCTGTTTTTTTCAATAATTAATCAAATCAAACAAATATAAATGGCCCAGCAAAGTATTTCTTTACATATTTGTCCAAGCACTTACAGTCATCATTTTCCATGGAGCTCCAACTCTCTCAGCTTGGTTTCCCTGAGTTTCCTGTGGGGGGTACAAGATCACAAGGGATGGAGCAGTCACCAGCAGCCACCAATCTACTAGCTTGGAGGAGAGGGGTGCAGGGGAGTGTCTTGCCTTGCTGTGTCTGTGTGTTTGCGGAGACACATAGTTTACTAGTACACACACACAGGGGGGACTCCATAGGACCCTGCAAGGGCTAAGAGCCACACGCAGATTACTAGCACACACAAGGGTGATTCCATAGGACTGTGCAAGGACAAGGAGACACACATAGATTACTAGCACACACAAAGGTGGCTCCATAGGACCGTGCAAGGGGACACACACAGATTACTAGCACACACAAGGACGACTCCATAGGACCCGGCAAGGGAAAGGAGCCACACACAGCTTACTAGCACACGCAAGGAAGGCCCCATAGGACCCTGCAAGGTAGAGGAGCCACCTTAAATAAAGAATATCAGGGTCAGTGCTCAGGGGACCAGCTGATTCTGCAGGAAACTAAAGCTTTCAAACTTCAAAGAGAAGCATCCATTGTGAGTGATTTCATCAGCATTTGAAATAGCTTAAAAACTAGGGATGCACCGGTACCGATACTAGTATCGATATCGGTGCCGCTTCCGAGTATTTGGGCAAGTACTCGTACTGGCCCAAATGCTCCGATGCCTAGCCCGATACTTCCGGTATCAGGAAGCCGGGCAGCGCATCATTACACGGTGCCCGGTTCCGCGATTGACCGGAAGCTGGCCTCCTGAGGTAGGGTTACCTTACCTTAGTATGTGTAGCCTGTCATCCCCCGGGGCCTCTCCAGTGAGAATGCGGCCTTCGTCCAGTACCCAGCCCGAGCCGTCCAATCAGGAAGCCGGGCGCCTTCATGCTCCCTCGTCATCTCATGACAAGAGAGCATGGAGCCGGCCTCCCGGCCAATCAGAAAGCAGGGCGTCGCATCATTACACGGCGCCCGGCTTCCTGATTGGCCGGCTTGACGGCTCCGGCTGGGTACCGGGCGAAGGCCGCGTTCTCGCTGGAGAGGCCCCCGGGGGATGACAGGCTGCACATACTAAGGTAAGAGGGGACTTTCTTGTTAATCGGGAAGCCGGGTGGCGACTCTTTACACACTGCCCGGCTTCCCGGGTAATCAGGAAGCCAGGTGGCGAGTCATTACACGCCACCTTGCTTCCTGGATGTGACTTCCGTTACTCGGTAATTGGTATCGGCGAGTACCGGAAAAAAAATTATCGGTACTCGTACTCGGTACCAAAATACCGGTATCGGTGCATCCCTATTAAAAACCCTTCGACTTTAATATCACTTTGATTGAAAGACATATACAAGATCCATATAGTCGTCTTAGATATAAATATCGGATTTATTTTTTTCCCCCCGAGGGAATTTTTATTAGTTGTGGCGACTTCTGAGAAAACTTCCCATCTTCAGCCTCGGCCTCGCCCTCCGGGGTCTATTAGCTGTGACTAGTCAGTTAGGGTAATGTCTCCCCATGGTGTTATTTTTTACCATACAGATAACAAGTACTGGTTCCGTGGAATCTGCGCCCATCCTGGGCGGTCTCAGCGCCTTTCTGGCCGCCCGAGTCTGGTAGCGAAGGACGACATTAACCGCCGAGATGTGTTTAGATTAAATTGATTCATTGCAGCGATAGGGGAATGCATTCTCTCTCTCTCTCTCTTTTTTTTCGAGAAAGCTTTTAAACATAATTGGAGGACTCGGCCGCTATAAACACTTACAGATGGCATTAGCCAAACTAAACAATGATTTCAGACTCTTAACGAAGATCTCCGGTAAGAATGATGACATTCCCGCGTGCTCCTATAACAAAGTCCGCTGTTGTGTTCCTGAAAGATTCTTCTAAGTACCTTAGCGGGAAAACTTTTCCTTTATATTTGGAGTCCATGACTGTCATCGGAGATATTTCTGGCTCCTTACCCCCTTCAGCGTGCCATGGCTGAAGAAATAAATCACCACCAGCTGTGTGGGGATGAATTGTTTGATATTATCTACTTATATTTAGGCAATGTCACCTGACTGAACGTCAAGAACGACTTTAAATAATATTTGGTTCAGATTTGTTTTAAAAATGATACTGTTGCCCTTTATTGGGGACATGTTAGGAATTTAACCGTGCAGACGGGGCCGGATTTCCCGTAAGGCCAGCAAGGCCCGGCCTCGGGGCAGCAGGGAGTAGAGGGGCAGCAGGGGTGTGGAATTTCTATCTCCCGACGCCTGGGACATGCAGTTCCGGGTGCCTGGCGGGTAGTTTTCTACATTTAGCCCTACTTTGGGGAAGCAGGGCTAAATGTACAGCGGGGGAGGACGCCGCTTGTTTTGTACAAGTGATCTCGGCGATGTCGCTGAGATCACTTGTATGCAGCCTGCATACAAGGGGGCGCATTGAGGAGCCTGGCATTGGGGCAGCAAAGGGAATAAATCCGGCCCTGCGTGCAGACCTGTGAAGTTACAGAATTTCGCCAGTGCAAAGATTATTGACTGTTCATATTCTGAATATTATTCAGAATAATAATAATATTGCGAAGTGCAGAAGTTTTACTTCAAGTGTTTTCATCTCTTCCCTGTTACAGATCAGTGACAATCCGATATTTGTGCCTGGCGTCTGGGGGCCTTACTACTCGGCCATGGTGCCGGGATATTGGCTGAACGAAGGCGGACAGAGTGCCACGGGGAAGCTGGTGAGTTTGGTTGGATTGGCACAGCTCCGCCTGTCCAGTATAGGGCACAGCTAGGGATTTATTCATGACAACTTGTGGGTTGGCACCACAGCACAGTGCAGGTTTTATACATTAATGGAGAACTACGGGGTCAGTGTTTTTCACCATAGTTCTCCTTGGGGTAACGGGAGGACACAAACTAGCGTCCTCCCGCCACCCTAGGCTCAGTAAGATGTTTATGTCTTTTGCTATGGTCGCGAGATTGCTTTAAGACTGCCTAGACTTTGGTGCTCTGATTGCACCGGCCCTGTGCCTTGTGGGGTTGGTAATGAATGTGTCGGAAAATCAGGAGATAGCATCACATTTTTACGAGATCCTCAAATGCCACAAAAGCTACCCAAATTGATTGCCGCAAATTGACTTCCAGTATAAAATATAGATTGTTAGTCATGCCCGTTAGATAATCCTGTGAGTCAGATAACGCGATGTACGAGCCGTAACATCTGCAACGCACAGCTTATTGATTTTGGTTTTAAAATGATTAATGAACACGCAGGGTGCAGAGACCTTTCAGACAAACTCATTTGCTGTTTTCTTATCCACCTCAATAATTTAAATGTAACGTGATCCCTGCCATCTGGTTTATTGTTTCGGAGACAGTTCTTAGGAATTAAAAAAAAAAAAAATCACGGCGCGATTTGAATTTTTGGAGAGTTTTGTTCATTTAAAAAACAATGTTCCAAAGGGAAGAGCCAGAGGGAAAAGCTGGTCCACATATGGGGAGATCTGGATGAGATTGGCCATAGTCAGTGCATGAAAGGTGAAGCTCAAAAGGCAGAACAATCCCTCACAACTTTATATACACTATACTATTTTGATATTGAACAAGAAAACAATGAATAAAGACAAATCAAATGCATTTTTCATGTTGCGGGTTGTGCTGATCTCGGGCGAATTTTATGTAAATGGCTCCGTCACCGTCACTTGGTAAATGGCGTTTTCGGCGGATAAATAGATTATTTTCATTATGCGCTCCGGAATGTGAAGCGATGTCCGATCCACTCCAACCCATTTACATTCCCCCCCCTCTCTCTCTCCTAAGATTGATCACGTCGTCCGCGGCCATCATGGATATGAAGAATTGCAGAGGAGAGCCGCAGAGAGGTCAGTGCAGTTTTCGTGCCTGTTGCCGTTTTTTCCCGGATGGCGGAATCTCTTCGCCGTGTCATCATTCTTATGATAGAAAGCAGCGCGGGGTCTTTTCCGCCAGCCGCGCGGCGCTGGAGATGTGCCGAGATGACCGGGCCTTTAATTACTTTTGTCTCGTGCTGATTGAACGATTTTTTGGAAGATAATATGTCTCGGATACTACGGAACAAAGATCAAAGGCATAAAAAGATTGTTTCTAGACGCAAGGAGAGCTTTCCCCTCAGGTCAGAATAGACGGAGCCAAGACTGACATGGGAAAATCAATCTTAGACTTGACTTGTCTATATCTTGGCTTGGTGATCTTCAATATTTCAATTATAAGAGTATATAAAAAAGAAAACAATTAGAGCGCCGCAAGTCAAGGACAAGTCCACTAAAAGTTTAACGAGAGGTCAGAAGATATACCGACTCGTTTCAAGGGTTCACAAATCACCCTTCATCAAGGGCTAAGAGATAAAATAGAAGAACATATTGTGAATGAAAAGATCTAAAACAGCAACTGGATGCCCTATAGAAGTACGGTGTATTGTAAAAAAAAAAAATATATATATATACTACATTGCCAAAAGTATTGGGACGTCTCTCCAAATCATTGGATTCAGGTGTTCCAATCCCCTCCATGGCCACAGGTGTATAGGATGAGGCACCTCGGCATGCAGACGCTTCTACAAACATTTGTGAAAGAACGGGTCGCTCTCAGGAGCACAGTGACTACAAGCGCGGTACCGTGATAGGTTGTCACCTGTGCAATAAGTCCATCCGTGACATTTCCTGGCTACTAAATATTCCGCGGTCACCTGTTAGTGGGATTATAACAAAGTGGAAGCAACTGGGAAAAAAAGCAACTCAGCCAGGAAGTGGTAGGCCACGTAAAATGACAGAGCGGGGTCAGCGCATGCTGAAGCGCACAGTGCGCAGAAGTCGCCAACTGTCTGCAGAGTCAATAGCTACAGACCTCCAAACTCCAGACCTTCAGACCTCCAGACCTTCAGATTGGCGCAACAACAGTGCGTAGAGAGCTTCATGGATTGGGTTTCCATGGCCGAGCAGCGGCATCCAAGCCTTACATCACCAAGTGCAATGCAAAGCGTGGGATGCCGTGGTGTAAAGCGCGTCGCCACTGGACTCTAGAACTGCTATTTTGTTTCTAATAAATAACAAAAAAAATGTAAAAGTATATATATAAAAATGTTATATTCAAACTATAAATATATGTTTGAGGCCAATTATTGGCCGGATTTGTGGGAGGAGCCCCGCACATTTAAGCTCCTCTGGTTCCCCCACTCACCCGTCTGGACGATCGTGTCATCCCACACTCCCGTACCCCTTCCATCAGACTTACACTGAGTATGCCCCCTTATTGCATACTGACCATAGTGACCGTGGCACACCTCAGGTCAAGGTTAGGTAGGGTCATCATCTACATGTTACAGGTACGAATCAGTGGGGCTCTGACTACAAATAATGTTATAATGGGCAATAGCCTGCGATATACTGAGCTTTGAGCTTTGATACTGAACTATGAGGTAAGTGTTTTTTTGCCCATAGTTCTCCTTAGGGTAACGGGAGGACACAAACTAGCGTCCTGGCGTCACCCTAGGCTCAGTATAACGCCAGCTGTAGCTCCTTATATACTGGGACGCTGCAGCTGAAGCGGATCCCGACAATTGTGCCGGGATCCGCCCAGCTGCGTGACTGACAGCTGGCTCTGCCTATAGAGAGGCAGAGCCAGCTGTACCCTCCCCCGTCCGTTCTGCCAGTCAGCGCTGGCAGATTGGAGCGGGGAGGGGGGAATCCAGCCCCTCCCCTGTCACGGCAGAGAGCTGTGACAGGATCGAGAAGTGAGCGAACGCCGGTATGTGTTCGCTCACCTCCCGATCTACTGAGCCGACCTGTGACAGTCTCATTGTCACAGGTCGGCTATAACTATGAGGTGAGTGAAAAGCACTCACCTCATAGTTCTCCTTTAAGTAACACTTACAGGTCTTGTCCCTCCCCCAGCCTGTGATTGGACAGTGAAAGGAGTAGCAGCACAACGATGAGCCCATCTCTCTACTCTCTCTGCCAATGAGCATGTTCCTGGTTAGCACATGAGCGCTTCTGTACAAATCTCAAATCCTATGGAAGCTCAGAGGGCTTCTGGTTGCAATTCCACTCGTGGTGCAGGAATTCCACCCATAAATAGATATTTTTGACTCCCCGATAGGGTAATCGAGTGTTTCTTTCCCCGGTGGGTTTGGATCGGACCTCTGGGACAATGAACAGGCTCCGATCAATTGAACTAAAACGGTTTAATTTCCCTCCAGCTTCGCAGACGCTGTTGAGAAGTAATAATAAACTATTGGCTGACATCAGTGACTGGAGCCGAACGATTAAAGGGGGGGG